AGAATGATTACAGGAAAAACAGTGCCCACTGTTTGAGATATCACAAAAATTGAAAGGAGCAAAAGAGTTCTGTATGAAATTTTGTATTAATCAAGTTCTCATGGTTCAGATACTTCTTTGTGTTCAAAAGTTACCCTGCCTGACACATTAGAGAGCGTTGGACTGCATAATAATAAATTTTACCTCACATGGTAATTCAGCAGTATCTTCTTGACAAAACTTGAATGTATATATATACATGAAAATATATTCCTATTTCCTAAAAGGATAAATTCTCTTGTGATAATCTTTGTATTTGTTGCACAGTCAGCGATGAGTCTTAAGAAGCTTTGAGGCAACTGGATAGGGTTCATTTGTAATCTCAGGTTACAAGAGTATGCTGTCGGGGCCGGCCCAGTGGCACAGCAGTTAGATGCACACATTCTGCTTCTCGGCGGCCCGGGGTTCGCTGGTTCAGATCCTGGGTGCAGACATGGCACCGCCTGGCCAGCCATGCTGTGGCAGGCGTCCCACATATAAAGTAGAGGAAGATGGGCATGGATGTTAGCTCAGGGCCAGTCTTCCTCAGCAAAAAGAGGAGAATTGGCAGCAGATGTTAGCTCAGGGCTAATTTTCCTCAAAAAAACCCAAAAAGACGAGTATGCTGTCTTAGGGCAACAATATACTTCTCTTCCTTTATAATCATTGTAATGTTTATAAAAGCACAGTGGTGTAAGTCACAGGCTCCTGAGTCAGGCTGCCAAGTATCCTGGCTCCACTTCTTCCTAGTTTTGTGATCTTAGGCACCTTCCCTGGTCTCATCTGTGAAATGAGGATAATAGTAAAAATATTACTATCTCGGGCCGGCCCCGTGGCCAAGTGGTTAAGTTCGCACGCTCTGCTTCAGTGGCCCAGAGTTTCGCCAGTTCGAGTCCTGGGCACAGACATGGGACTGTTCATCGAGCCATGCTGAGGCAGCATCCCACATGCCACAACTGGAAGGACCCACAACTAAAAATAGACAACTATGTACCAGGGGGCTTTGGGAGAAAAAGGAAAAATAAAATCTTAAAAAAAAAAATTACCATCTCATAAGGTTTTGGAAGGATTTAATGAATTAATGTATTTAAAGCACTTAAAAAGTGCCTGGCACATAAGGGCTCAGTAAATTTTAGATGTTATAGCTGTTGCTGTTCTACAGTGTGACAGATGTGAACTATTTCCAGTTTTTCATTATGTCCTATGAAGTGAATGCAGAGAATAGTAAAATCTATTGGGAAAGAGTGACTTTGTATTAGGAATACTGGAAGGAATCTATTCCTTTTGCACTACTATGTAAGCTATAAAATGAGACAATAAGCAGATAATAACCCTTTGAAAGAAAGAAGAGACTAAATATAACTTTAAACATTCTAATCAGAAGGGTGGAATTGTTTATATGTTTAGCCAATGATTAACAAATAATTCTTTGAGATTGGGCAAAAGTTAATAAAAAGGGTGGTACTTTATTTAATGTTGTAGCAGATTTTCAACAGCAGCTCTTCAAGTTACTAATAAATATAGTGGAACAGTAAAGACTCATTCATGACAAAAGCAAGAGGAAGGTAAGAGTGTAATGCATTTTATATTGCTACAATTAAAGCAGAGCAGTATCTTAAACTTTAGAGTAACTGAGTTTAAACTTAGTTTGCATATACCAAGTGAGAGAGTAGTATGTGCCTGAGATGAAAAAGGCTTAGCTGTTGGCACCTTGGGGAAAAAGAACCAGCTGTCTTTTTGGCTAGTTCATGCATAAAAGTAAGAAAGAGAAACCTGTGTGTGGGAATATTCATGTTGTAAGCTTTTTTTAAAAGATTTTATTTTTCCTTTTTCTCCCCAAAGCCCCCCGCTACATAGCTGTGTATTTTTAGTTGTGACAGCTTCTAGTTGTGGCATGTGGGACACCACCTCAGCATGGCCTGATGAGTGGCACTATGTCCACACCCAGGATCCGAACTGGTGAAACCCTGGGCCGCCGAAGCGGAGCGCCCAGACCCAACCACTCGGCCACGGGGCCAGCCCCCATGTTATAAGCTTTTGTGCTCCACGAGAGGAGAAAATTATGTTATAGAATGGGGATTTAAGAAGGTGAAAGATATTTACTACTTAGGTAATTGAGTTGAGAAAAAGGAATAAAAATACAATGAAATATTACAGTGCTTAGCAGGCACTCTCATGAGATTTGTTAGTGCCTTGTGTGGCTTAACAATAAGTTAGTGGGAAATACAGGAATAGAATTCAGGCTTTATGTACAGAATCATTATAACCCCAACTGCCCTTCCTCTTTCCCCACTGTATTGGCTGGCTTGCTTGCTCAAGGAAAGTTTAATGATAATGATCATTTCATAATGGGAAAGCTTTACCAGTATTAATGTTAAATCTTTGACTAGATGCTTTTAATTGAAATTTGCAGTGTCTGTGGTGGCCTTAACCTAGCGCAATATCAAAAGCAGCTGCATTCATCATCAGGCCATGGACTTGTAATTGTCTATGGTATATCATAGCCTTTTTCCTTTATAAACGCATCTGTTCGTCATATAAATGCTTGCATTATCTAATGTGGAATAACCTTTTGTTTTGAATGCTTAGAATAATACATTAATTTGTTCTCATTTGGATTTGAAATTGAAAAATGGGAATTTTCAATTGCGTAAGAAACAGAAATGAATTAAATTTATCTAGTTAACATTTCTAACCATGATATTCTGAACTTCTCTGTAGAAAGCATTATCATTACTTCAGACTCTCACCTTTCATATTGACTTGTTTTTAATGCTGGAGTGAACCAAGATGCTTTTTAGTTTAAACAGGGTACTTTTCTCGTGTTTCATGGGTTCCCATCCTTGTTTTTGGCAACATAGATTATTTATGCTAAAAACTTTAAAAGCTTTATTTTGAGCTTAACGACTTTAGACCAGAGGTTGCAAACTGGTGTCTTGGACATTGTTTAAAATTCTAAAAAATTAATTGCCAGCATATAGAAAATGGCAAAATTTATTGAAATTTCAGTACTTAGCAACTCTTAAAAAATCAGAGCTGGCAACATTGGGCCTGTATTCTTATATGGCAGAACTCAACAGGAGCTGAGAGCTGGGACGTCCACTATTCACTTTATCACTATGCACTTTTGAAGTAGTCGTCACTCATTACATTCGATATCTGGTCCTTCTCAGCATTGCAACTTATGCATCAATGAGTTTGTTTCTTGATGTGTGCCTGTTTCAGTAGAGTTATTTGGAGAATCATAAAAAGCCCTGGTATGCTTGGGTCATCACTTAGTTTTGTTTTGTTTGTTTAAGCCTTTAGACAAGTAGTATTTTCCTTCTATGATTTTAATTTATTCAAGAGAAAGGTATTACATTTTATGTCTGTAACTTAAATACAAGGAGATAAGCATGATAAATTAAGCTAACTTTGAAACAAACTTACAATAATTTAAAATCCAAATAAGTATGCTTTCTTAAAGTAATCATGTCAAGAGGCCAGTTATTCTAAAAGTGCTACTCAAAACATTTTTGAAAAAAAAATGATGGCATATTTCTTTTGAGTATTCCCAGGAATGTCAGATTTTTATCCTTTCAGAGTAGATATGTTTTAGTAATACTTGAAAGGTATGTATAATTTGTCAAGAAAATAAAATGTGACAAATTTTATGAAGTAGCAAGAAGTCAGATTTTATCCAGCTTCACAGTAAATTTGAACATTTGTTCAAAGTAAATAATTCTCCAGGAAAGAAGATATTATAAATACAGGTTTATACTCATTAGCCTTCAACCTTTACCCCCTCCCCCCCAAAAGTAAGGAAGAAAACTTCATCAGGTGATGAAAATTGATAACAACCCTAATTTAATGCCACAAATTTCAAGGAATATCTTCCAGAAGCAGTATACTTTGAACCAGATTGAAAGAAATTCGTTTGCAATTATCCTTCCCAAGAGGACCACACAGTATTGTCAGAACCACATAAAGTTTGAAAACTCTTGCTAAAATGTCACAAAAAGAAAGTTAGGTACATGACTCAGTTGTGTCTTGAGGCCACAACAGCAAAGTCATAAAGGAAGTATATAGGATTTATTCATATTATTTGTAGAAGTATCTGTATAAATACATATTTTTCCTCCTTTCTGATAAAAGCTTTTAATATCACAATCGGGTTACTTCTACATTAAGAAGTCTCCACCTTGGGGGCCGGCCCCGTGGCCTAGTAGTTATGTTTGCAGGCTCAGCTTCTGGGACCCAGGGTTTCCCTGGTTCGGATCCTGGGCGCGGACATGACACTGCTCATCAGGCCACGCTGGGGCAGCGTCCCACATGCCACAACTAGAGCAACTCACAACTAAAATATACAACTATGTACTGTGGGGCTGGGGAGTAGGTGAGAAAAAGCAGAAAGAAAAGAAAAAAGATTGGCAACAGTTGTTAGCTCAGGTGGCAATCTTTAAAAATGAAGTCTCCACCAAATTTACATAAACAAGATTTAGAGGTGAGGGCCAAAGCCAGGAGAAACAGTCTCATATGAGTTTTTCTCAGCTAGATAGCAGTTTCTTTAGGCCCTAGCTCCCTGCCCATCCCTGTCAGGCAGTAAAATGAATGAAACAACTAGAGAAACTGAAAGTGTTTACCAGGTAAATAAACTCAGGAAAAACCGATTGCACTAATTGTGGGCTAAAGATAGACCCAGTTTGCTACCTCCGAGTTCAAAAATTATTTTTAAAACAGAGATATGCTTTAAATATATTAATCATATGATTTGGGAATTATATCTTAATAAAGCTGCTTTGAAAAAACACAAATAAGATCCCATGGAAAAATTTTGCCATAAAAAGGGGCATAAATCTATTTTTCAAGTAATGATGAACATCAGTGTGGGAAACAGAAGAAATTTTAAGTCACTCGAGGGAGAGAAAATTAGGGTGGCTCCTAGCAAAAATTTGTGGACTTATTTAAGAATCACCACACACTTTTGTTTTTTATTGTTTCAGGAGGAAGTTGTGAGGCCAGTGCACTTTTGACTCAATGGGGTTGAATGGGTGAGTAAGTGAGTGTAGAGTCCTTTGGTAAGTGTGGCAGATTGGGAGAGAGCTCAGGCTTTGGATTCCTGACTGAGTTTGCCTGTGTGATTTAGTCAGTGAGTATAAGCTCTCTGAGCTTCAATTTTCTTGTCTATGACAAGGAATAATTTTCTTTTATCAAGGCAGGTAAGTACAGGTTAACTTCACTGAATAGGTCACACAGCCCCCCAAGTCACTTATTTTTAAAATGTAAACTCTCTTTTATAAACCTAAATCTCTTAAGTGTAAATGTTACTCCCCTGCTTTAAATACTTAAATGGCTTCTCATTGCCTATCAGCAACCTATAAAATCCTCAGTGAAGGACTCCTGCTGTCTCTTTACCTTGCACACTGTAATCTCCAGCCTTGCTGATCTTTTACCAAGAGCCTTTCTTTACAGGCTGTTCTTCTCTCTGGAGGCTCTATTCCTAGTCCTTGATAAGGTCAGCTCCTACTCATCCTTGAGGGCACTGTTTAAATGTGGCTTTTCTTTTTTTGCTGAGGAAGATTAGCCCTGAGCTAACATCTGTTGCGAATCCTCTTTTTTTTTTTTTATTTGGCTTGAGGAAGATTAGCCCTGAGCTAACATCTGTGCCAGTCTTCCTCTACGTTATATGTGAGCTGCCTCCACAGCATGGTTGATGAGTGGTGTAGGTCCGCACCTTGGATCCGAACCTGCAAACCTGGGCTGCCAAAGCAGAGCAAACTTAACCACTATGCCACAGGGTGGGCCCCTAAATGTGGCTTTTAATAAAGGCCTTAATCACTCTCTAAGGCTCTCCCTTTTGATTTCCCCATAATCTTTATTTTAGTAGACCTTTGGTTTCTTTGTAGCATGGTCCAGATTTGTAGTTCTTTTATTCATGTGATTGTTCGTGGTGCCCTTTTCTAGCCTATTAACGCTGTGAGCGAGCACAGGAACGATATATACGTTGAGTTTACTGTTATATCCCTGATGACTATTCTAGTTTTAGACACGTAGGAGGCACTCACTAAGAGTTGATTGAATTGAGAACTCCTCTTTGGATAAATACAGGTGCTTATATTTTTCCTTTTTGATACCTGGACATTAAGTAAACTCCTCCAGTAATTGTTATACATCTTTAAGGTTCTTTTATATAGAGATAATATTTAAAAATCTGTGCGTTTTGTTTTTAAGACTTTAGAGTTTAGAGCAGTTTTAGGTTCACATGAAAATTAAGAGGAATGTACAGAGATTTCCCATATTCCTCCTGCCTCCACACATGCATAGCCTCCCCCATTATCAACATCCTTCACCAGAGTGGTACATTTGTTAGAACTGATGAACCTACATTGACACATCATAATCACCCAAAGCCTATAGTTGACATTAGGGTTCACTCTCTATGGGTTTGAATGTATGTATAATGACATGTCCACCATTATAGTATCATAACATAGCAGTTTCTCTGCCCTAAAAATCCTCTGTGATCCATCTGTTTATCCCTCCACCACCTCCCCCTGGCAACCACTAATCTTTTACTGTCTCTGTCGTTTTGCCTTTTCCAGAATGTCATATAGTTGGAATCATACAGTATGTAGCATTTTCAGATTGGCTTCTTTCACTTAGTAAATGCATCTAAGTTTCCTCTGTGTCTTTTTGTGGCTTGATAGCTCATTTCTTTTTAGTGTTGAATAATATTTCATTGTTTGGGTGTACCACAGCTTATTTATCCATTCACCTACTTAAGGATATTAGAGCCCTTAGCATATTAATAATACATATTTTAAATTCCTGATCTGATAATTTTATCATTCTTTCCATGTCTGGTTCTGATACTTGCTCTGTCTCTTCAAATTGTGTTTTTTGCCTTTTATTATGCCTTCTAATTTTTTCTTGATAGCCAGACATGATGTACCCGGTAAAAGGAACTGTTATAAATAGGCCTTTAGTAATAACGTGGTGAGGTATGAGGGCAGGGGAAGCATTCCGTAGTCCTATGATCAGATGTAAGTCTTTTAGTGAGCATATTTCTCTGGACTGTGAGCTTCACAAGTGTTTCTCAGGGTTTTTTTCTCTCTCCTTATGTGGAACTGGATGGCTGGAGTAGTTTGGAGTTGGGTGTTTCCCTTCTACCATGTAGAAGGCTAGAGGGGGCTAGAGTTGAGTAGTTTCCTTCTCCCAGGTCAGTTAGGCTCTGCTAAATACCCCAGCAGCTTAAGCTCTCGGTAACTAGTTTCTCCAGAGGACATGCCTTCTTAAGAACAGAGTCCTCTGGCATATTTCAAAATGATTCATTTTCTCCTTCCCCTGCTGGAAGCACAAAAGGATTTTTTTCTTCGGTGTTTACTGTCAGAACCTGGTCGAGGTACTGGAGGTAAATTTCACAAAATTGTGGGGCCCTTCCTATGATTGGGTCCCCCTGGAAGCTTTAACTCTTACAGTTGTCCACACTGAGTCTCCAGATATTCATCAATTACAGTTCAGGTTTTCCTGCCCCAGCACTGGTTCCACTGAGTATTCTGATTTTCTGCTCCAGTAAGTTGTGACTCCTGTATTCACTTGTCTCTCTCCAATATTGGGGGTAGTGGTTTGCTCCATGTTCTCCCCTCTCTGATGGAGGCAAGAAGAGTTGTTGACTTTTCAGTCTCTTAAGCTTTTTACTTGTTAGAGTGGTGACTTCCAAGCTCCTTATATGTAGAACTGGAAACCAAAAGTCCCTGGTATATCTTTTTCTTTTTATTTATTTATTTACTTTTTGGTAAGGAAGATTCTCCCTGAGCTAGCATTTGTTGCCAGTCTTCCTCTTTTTTTTTGCTTGAGCAAGATTCACCCTGAGTGAACATCTGTGCCAGTCTTCCTCTATTTTGTATGTGGGATGCCTCCACAGCATGGCTGATGGATGGTGTAGGTCCACGCCCAGGATCTGAACCCATGAACCCAGGCCGCCTAAGCAGAGCATGGAACTTCAACCACTCAGCCACGGGGCTGGTCCTTTTTTTTTCCCAATCATTCTTTAAATCTTTTTTCCCTCTGGTAAAAGATAGTAAGTTTCAGATATGTCCCTTTTCTTGTAGGAGAAGGTAAATCAAATGGAGGGAAGTAAATTTCTGTCAAGGCTGAGAATAAAAATGTGGATTTCTACCCTTAGTCTTCTGCCTCACCAACTGTGTGCCTATGTTAAATAGGCTGTTTCTGCATGGCCTGGAGAAAAACATAAGAGCTGAATATTGATTATGGCAGAGAAACTCCCAGATAAAAAAACTTAGAATTGGATTTTAAACAAAACCAGTGTCTTGGTTGTTAGTCTTTATCTTCTGATGCTCTATTATGCCATCTAGGATGGGTAAAAATTTGGGTCATAATTTTCTAATGACCAGTGCCTTTTCTACAATAATAACACGTTCAGTGTAATTAAGGCAAGATATAATTGTCATGGTACTTGGGATTATTATGTTTTTCTTTCTCTTCAGAATGATGGCAGGGATTATGATCTCTTGGATTTGCTCTTTTCAACTTTGTTAAATGTCTCCTTTGTTTGAAAACCAAGATTGAGAACTCATGCATTCATTTATGTATTTCTTTGTTCATTAAATATATGAGAAACTCCTATGCCAGGCCCTATGAAAAAAATGGTAAATGAGACAGTTTCTACCTTTACAGATGTAATACACAAGTGAATAAGCAATTACACTGTACCGTAATTAGTGCTATGGTGGGGTGCTAAAAGTACAGAAGAGGGGCATGTAACACAGAGTTGAGGAGTCAGGAAAAGTTTTCCAGAGAAAGAGACATTTTAAGGTAAAAGCTAAAAAGGAGCATAAATCAACCTAAAGAACAGAGATAAAAGAGGGATCCAGGCTAAGGGCCCGTTGGAGGAAATGAAGTTTGGTGTTCATTAACCTAAACTGTAACATAGGGGGAGGATTTAATTGAAATGAAGCTGGAGAGGTAAAGCAAGTGCCAGATCAGGAAGGACTTTGAGCTTCTTAAAGAATTTTACCTTTCTTCTAAGAGCACTGGAAAACCACTGAAGGCCTTTGAGTTGGAAGATGACGTGATCAGACTTGCATTTTGGAAAGTTCCCTATGGGTATGATGTTGCACAAATTGGAATGGAAAGGTAAGAGAGTTGAGAGGAGAAACCTGGAAGCAAGGAGATCAGTTAAGAGATTCTGTTCCATCTTGGTGGGAGAATGGTTTCTTTGCCAAGGTGCCAAGAATGAAGATGGAGAGAAGCTTATAGATTTGAGAGTTAAAAGAGCTAAAATTGACAGTTCCTTTGTGTCCTGTTTAGGTTACTGGGTAGGTGGTTAATGGTATTGGTTATTGAGATAAGAACCCAAGAGAGGAAAGTAGGTTTGAGGTTTTCTTGGGGAGAAGAGGGGTGTGGTGGGAGTAGTAGGAACCAAGAGAAGATGAGTTTAATTCAGACTGTTGAATTTGAGGTGTCTGAATTTTCCATATTTAAGTAGAAAAATTGAGTATGCCCCTGAATATATAGATCTCAACCTCTGAAGAAAGATGATAGCTGGAAATGTAAATTAGAATTTATCAGCATATAAATGAATATATGATATGAATGCTTAGAACAATGCAGCAGTGTCTGGGAACAGTGTGCTTTACGTAACGTATGCTTAATAAATATTTGTTGAATGAATGCATGACCAGAAGGGGTGGGAGTTGTTTTGAGTGAGAAGAGAGGCAGGCTTGGGCCAGTACACGGAGGAAATGAAACAATTCAAGGACCGGCTGAGTAAGAAAGAGCAGCCAGAGAGAGAGGAGAAAAATCAGGAGAGAGTGACAGCATGAACTCAGAGGAGAAAGAGTATTCTAAGAAAGAACAAAAGGTCACCAGTGTCAGGAGATCAGGAAGATATGGACTGAAAAGTGTTCCTTGGATTTAGCCTCCAGGATGTAAAAGTTTACTTGAGGAGGAGAATGATAGTAATGGTTTGGGAGGATGGGATTACAAAGCCTATTGTGGAGTGTTCAGGTATGAGGAAATGGAAATAGTG